TATATATATAGTCACTGACAGATGTAATTGTTACATAATGACAGTGTGTTTTTAACCTTTTTATTGGCTCTGTCTCAGGAATGAGAGGCCTAACCAACTACAGTCTCTCCTGCTGTGTCAACTCTTTACTGCAGACCCTCTCTGCTACCTGGGAACTAGCAGACATATTAGAAAAGTAAGCAATTTACCACCTCTGATCCCTGTAAAACACCAACACCTTCAAGAAAACATACAGAAACAGGTCTATTTCTTAGTTGCTGGAAGTGAAGGTTAAAAAGTGCGACTCTCACAAGGTGGGCCACAGCTGATCTGAAGCTGGACGGTCGTAACGTCCCCCTGCAGCTGAAGAAGGTTCTGGCGGCCATGCGGAGCGACCTCCCTCAGCCCGCTCCACATCGAGACTTCCTCAACTGTCTGGACCGAAACTACATCCGACGTAAGACCCACCCCCGTACGGTAAAATGCCTTTAAGACAACACGACGTAACGGTTTTGTTTTGCAGTGAACATACAACACGACGCCGATGAGGTTTTCCTCTCTATCCTGAACCTGCTCCAGCAGCAAGTGAACGACAAAGATCTGGTTTGTGTTTCATCTTAAATGCTTTCTTACGTTTGTCTTTAAATGTATCGTCTGGAGAGGATTTGTTTTCTCTTCCAGGCTCTTGAGATCCAGAATCTGTATAAGATTTCTGTGGAGACCCAGCTGCAGTGTTTGGAGTGTAACACTGTTCAGACTCGGAGCACCTACCTCGTCAGCCTGCCTTTACACATAAAGGAAGATCACAACTCACTGGTGTGTTTTTTTTTTTTAAAGATTTATTAAAATGTAACTAACCAGACAAAGACACCAGTGTTCTCTAAACTAATTATCTCTAACTGAATGTTTTTCAGGAAAACTGCATGGTTTCATTCTTTGAGCATCAGGAGCTGAAAGGAGCAAACAGCTGCTTTTGTTCTCGGTGTGGAACCAGGACGCCTTCTAGACAGGTGAGACATGATCTAAATGCTGCTCAAACGTGTTTCCTTCTACCCACTACCCCACTTCAAGAATAATAATCTCTTTTAAATATGCTGTTCAGGGTGTCAAGCTCCACTCTCTGCCTCAAATCTTGTGCATTCAGCTGAAACGCTTCAGAAACACGTCGGGTTCCACCCGAAAACTGGACTGCACGGTCACCTTCCCGGAAACCTTTAACTTTTCTACGTTTCTGCAGGACGCCTTCTCTGCAAACTTTTCTCAGGTACTGATTTATTTAGATTTTCTGTACAATGTCTGGATGTTATCTAACAGTGAACCTGTTCGTCCAGGGTGACTGTAGGTACAGTTTGTATGCAGTGGTGGTTCACTGTGGCTGTGCCGGGTCGGGACACTACACCGCCTACGTTCGTAACAGATTGAGCGAGCAGTGGTACTATGCAGATGACAGCCATGTACAGCAGGTAAGACCATTCTGATCAAACCTGTCTCACTTGAACAAACAAACTGAGCTCATATTCAACCATTTTGTTGCATCGATTCATTTCTTTTAAAACTGCAAACAACAAAACAAGACATGCTTAGGAATGTTTTGTTACATYACTGAATGATTGAACTGGCCGTAACTCAAATATCACTCATCTTTAACAAAAAGGCTTTAAATAAATATGCTGTAATTCTGAGACATGATAAATCTATTATTTTGTAGATAACTAAATAATGAACAAATTATTATAATTAAATAAAGTTACAACCATTTCTCAGCATTTTGGGGGTTCAAATGAGTCATTTGCTCCAAACCTGAACTCACGAAGATGGAAACCAAAATTGTAATTACAAAGTTTACAAAGTCAGCATTTGCAAATTATGACTTTTTTAATGCATTTTAATTTCACAATTCATTTATTATTTCAAATGTGTTTCTTCATAATTTAAACGTGTGATAAAATATTTTTTTGTTTTTCCTAACCAGTGTTGTTGGAAAGATGTGGAGGAAACATATGGAGGCCGTTACAGGTAATTAGTTCATCAGTTTGTCTGTTTTCTCTTTGTTTTTTAATTTTTATTTAAAACCACATTTTGTAAATGATGTCTGTTAGCAGTTTTCTTGTCAGCTCGACTCCTCTATAAAGTATGTTTTCTTCCTAAAATTAAATCAAGGCTTCATGTGGATAACAACACAGGCATGTGATGGTTAATTTATAGCATACGTTAATTGTTGCAATGGTTTTTGGCCTCACTGGAGAATTTATTTTTCTTCTGAATGCTTTGACCTGATAGTTACCAGGTGAAAATCTGACCGATTTTAGGTCACATAATTCCATATTTGTGACCACAGAGCATCCTACTGTCTTTAGGACCAACATGTAAGGCTGGACGGACTTCTGTTGTTGACATCTTTTAATTAATTGGTAAATAAAATGTTTCTGCGCTGCTATATAGTTGTRAAACATGAAACGTGTCCCAACCAGCTTTGCTGCAGTGACTCTAGATTGACTTTACTATCAAAATTTGTTGTGAAATAACTAACAAGTTAACAGACGGTTTATTCAGACTGACCTCTGATTTTCTGCTTCTGCTCTTGTTGGCACATGGTTGTGAGTATTAGTTATAGGGYTTCTAAATAAAAAAAAAATCACCATAAAGTCTAAAATCATTTTATTTATGAAGTTTATTTTTGGTCTTCCGATGTGACGTCAACAGCTGTTAGTTTTTTTCCCAGTATTCACACCAAACCTCTAACTTCCTGCTCCATATTTCCTAGTATTTTTAGCATCTGAAAATGTACTCCTTTTTTAAAATATTTCTTTTACTTTGTGGAGTAACATTTTTTTAACTAAACGAGCGTCAAACACACAGCTGTTCTGGCTTTTATGTTTTCTAAAATTAACTTCCCTTTTAACCTCGTCTATAAAATCATCTGTCACCTTCAAAAGCATCTTGGGGTGGGGAAAAAAACGTGGCAACAAAATTTAAAATGACTGCTCTTTTTTTTTTTATTATTTTCTTCTAAAACCAGCCTCCAATTTGCTTTTGGAAGCAGAGATCTTCAAAATAACCTTTTTTAAAACCCGAAAAGCTTAACTCGTGCTGACATCATGGCAGCTTTTATCCTCCTCCTCCTCGCAGAAGCAGCTTCAGATCTTCAAACAAAGACTTATTGTCTGCTCCTCGGTCCAGATTAAAGTCTGAAGGTGACTGTGTTTTTGCCAGGAGGGCTCTTAAACTCTTGAACTCCCAAACAGAGGAAATCCTCCTCATCTGTTATATTGTCTTGTCTTTTAAATAACAATTTGTTTTGGGGTGGGTTTTGTGTGTTTTTTAGAGCCACAGCGTACATGTTGATGTACAGAAGAGAAGGAACAACAACCTGAACGCTGCGGCTGACTGGGTGGATAAAGCGGGAGACAAATGCAACTTAGGAAAAATGGGAACTTTTATGCTCTTGAGATATTTATTGTTATATTTTCCTTTTTGTGTTTCTAAAGAATTATATAATCATTATGTTTTTAGGACTTCATGAACCAGCTGAGCAGTTTGTATAAAACACCAGCAGGTGGTGGTCAAGCCTTGAATCATGAAAGGTTTTCCCTCGTCGGACCACACACACACACTGAACACATGCTTAGTTTGCTGACATTTTTGCACATATATAGATTTTAATTATAAAAAACGAGCATATATATATTTTAATGGGAACAATCGGTTTATTTTATCCATGTTTTTTTCCCCAAACAATATTAATAAAAACAAAAGTTTAACAAATGAAACCCGTTTAAGTTTTGGTGCAGTTTGTCGCTCCACAGCCCATCAGCAGCTCTGAACTTCCCACTCGTTTTTCCAAGAGTCGTGGAGGTGGGGGGCGTGTGAAAGGGTTTCTATGTGCCGCGGCACGCCGACTGAACGGAACAGGTCCGCACGGGGCCAGAGGCTGAGGAGCGCAAACCCTGGAGGTGGATCTTCTCGCACTCGGGGGGCCTCTAAAAGAGACACTGGTCTCTGTCGGCGTCACAGACACGCTCCTCTGTCTCTGGACACTGGGGACGGTTGTGAAGCTTCAAAGAACCAATGCGCTCAAAACGCTGAGTAATTTGGATTTCCATGCTGCCTGTTTTTATCTGTCGAAGAAATCCTCTTCCGGATGACATCATGCAGACGTTAACAATGGATCAGTTGTGTAAACAAAAGGTCATAAGTTGGTGATGAGCATCTGGTGCTAATGAAAAGTTTTATTCATAAAAAAAGTTGTTTACCAACGAGGTCCCTAGTTAAAATATGACATTTGTTTCTATTTTATTAGTTCTTAATATGGAAATTGGAAAATATGGTTTTCATACTGAATATTAAAAAAAATTGAACTAATATAATTCACCTTTTGCATTTTATTAATATTAATTAGAACTTCAAAGCTACTTTGAACTAGTAAAACATTAAGATGATGCTGAAATCTATCAAACAGCACAGCTTCACTCTGATATTGGTATGCTTTTCAGAAATGTAGGTATGCAGTCGATGTAAACAAATAACTCTGCTTAATCTGCCGACATCCAAGAGGAAGCAGGAGTGATTGACTGTATTAGGCGTACTGTATGTTGTGTTGGTAACGGGTTAACGTTTAGATGGAGATGTGAGTGAATCGTCTGCGAAACACAAAATGAGTACAACTGTTCATAAATATAAAAACAGAGTTTAATCGATAGTTTAAAAAATACGTATTTTCAACAAATCTGACCATAAATATGCACCGATGAGATTAAAAAAATTCAGCGTTTTTGTAGCCTACTTAAAACACGTGGTCATTTGCATCTGGTCACAAGAACACATCAAGTACCTTTAAGTCGCATAACACCTTTTATTTCCAACATATCTGAGAAATAACGTTTGTGTTCATGATGTTCTGCTGCTTACATTTAGATTGAGTCAAAAATGTTGATAATTGTAACCATTCATAGGCTCCACTTCAGCTGCCTACAGAATTCAAATAATGTTTAATGTGTCACGTAAGCATACAGTTCTCTGAAACAGGCCATTCTGTTGAAGCAGTTAATGTTTAAGCTTTTGCTTTAATGCTGTACCTACACAAGGTTGGAAAAATGTGACTAATACTGTTGTGTGAGTTCAGACATATACCTGGATTTGCTTAATGAGGTGAAGTCAATTTTAATTTGTTTTTGTTCTGAATGAAGTTTGAGTGTAATGTGTGGATCAAAGCTGTAAATACACCTCCTTTTGTTTCCCAACCATGACTCTGATACTCTGCTTGGATAAGAGCCAAATGTGGTAGATTCACCCGCTCAGACAGATGCTGTAGTCCTGATTGTGCAGTGAAACGTTAGACGTTGATTAGATTCAACAGAATCACCTAATTCCCAAGCAAGTTTACTTTTTCCCCTTTTTTGTGGGGGGTTTAATCAATTATGCATGTTCCTCTAGCATGTGTGAAGTTTAAATGAGCATCTGTCCAGCACCGCCCTGACACTGACCACATCACAGATGCTAGCAGACACACTGGATGACACAGACGGCACACCCCGAGGCTCAGGGTTTTAATCCCGACCGAACGTCGTCTTTTCAAACCCCAGCACAGGAAGTCTTTGTCTCCATTGTTAGCTGAAGCAAAGGCTCCTTAATGAGGTTCTTTACACTTTATAGCGGCTCATAATCTGCTGCATTGCTTTTTATCTCGGTCAGGTGTTGGCCAGTCATCCAAGGACACCTTATGTTGTATTTATTGTTTTGGCGCGGTTGTTTCTCCAGCGGGGAGAATGATTGACACATTCAGACCACAGCTGACGCAGATATGTGCTGTGAGGACGGCCTGAGTGATGTGTCTCTGTTTGCAGTGGGGCAAGCCGTGTTTTCAAGTTTGGTTAAAGCTTTTTAAGTCCGTGTTGATGTGTGTTTACCAGTTACTAGGCGAAACACGCCGCTGTGATGAATGGAATTTGGCTGTTTGAGAACATTTTCCCCTGTTTTGTGTGGAGAATTTCACAAGCTTAGATAAACTCGTGCGTCTGGCAGCATTTATTTCCCCCAGCTTACATGTTTCCCTGCCCCACTCCATGTCACTTGTCAAAGAGTAGCTCCTCTATAATGGAAAGACCGAACAGTAAGGAAGCAGTGAAGTTAACCTGTGACCCAGTGAGCAAACGAACAGATACAAAGGTTGCAGTCATTTTTTATATACTGTATATGTCTTTAGCTATGCTAGCAGCACAGCTAAATGGCATCCTGGCCTTTTTAATCTCAGCTATTTAAGGTCATAACATTTTTACAAATAAGACTTGTCTCATATAAAGTGCACTGCAATATTTTATTTCTGCTTGTAGCATCAAGTCAAAGTTTTAACCTTTTTAGAAGTGTGACTCTAACGAGGTTATGAGTAATTAATATCTTACCTGTTGCAGATAGCTCTTTGAGTGGCATCAGTTTGAATAAAAAGGGTTTGATTATGACAGAATTGATAAGCTAACTGCTGGTCAGAGTGAGGTTAAAAGCAACGTGGATTGCTGCCGTCTCGATGCAACTTTTAATTTTTTATAGTGCTCATGTAATTGTTTTATRTACTTTTCTTTCACTCAGTTTGGAATTAGGTAGTAATCTTGCAGAAATATACTGTTCCTGCAGTTAGTGCTACAGCTGCTGCTCTTTATGCCTGCAAGTTAGTAAAGTTAGCAAAAAATTGTATGTTTATAGTCGTTACGTACTATTACATATCATTTTTTGTAAAGATATTAGTTATTTATATGGTATTCAGTTGTTTATTTTTGTAGCAATCATTGGCATAATTGGCAGCGCATTGGCTCAGTTGGTAGAGCTGTTGCCTCTCAGTAAAAAGGACCTTTCTGGGTAGAGTTTGCATGTTCTCTCCATGCGTGACTGGGTTTTCTCTGGGTACTCCCATTTTCTCCCACAGACCAAAAACATGACGCTTAGGCTAATCGGTATGAGTAAGAGCATGGAGTGGTTGTTGGGTTTTGTTTGTCTCCACCTGTCCATGGTGTACCCCATCCCTCGCACAGTGACTGCTGAGCACAGTGACCTCCTTACGGAGGGTTACCCCTGGAAAGAAAATGTGGGTAAATGATAATGGATGGATGGAATTGGCAAAAGTCATATCAGGACACTTGAAAAATTTAAAATATGTCAAATTCAAGCAAGATTCAGTTTTTTATAGCCTATTAAAAACCACAATTTATAAATGATCTTAATTACATGACAGATCATCTAGATTCCGCATTTTATCTTTTGTTTATGCACAGGTTTGAGACGTTGGATCATTAATGTCAAAAACAATCATTTATTGGTGAACAAAGTTGAAAGTGAACTTTTCCTGAGTCATCAAATCACATTAGGCAACACATACAGCACAAAGCCTTTTCCAGAAAATGCTTTACTTAAACAAAACTTTGCCAAAACACCCGAAGCTAAAACTGTGAACCTGTCACCAGCTGGAAGTATCAAGAGTTTTAAAAACTTAAAAACTAGGCCCTAAACCATTTAGCATCTAAAACTTGTATCGAGTAACGGCTAAAAAAAGTTTCACTTTCAGCATGACACCAGGAAGTTGTCTCTCGAATACCAACCATAGAATGCTGACATTATGCAACTCTGTGGTCCGTATCTTTGTCTGTAATATTCTGAAAGCAGTGAAATGTAAATTTTTGTTAAATGTAAAYGTTTTTCCTGCAGAGTGTTTTTAAAGATGAGTGACTCAAGCTTGATCCTGGTCTCCTAGAACTTATCTAACAGCAAATCTTTGTCTGTCGTGAATGTAAGCCACTTTGTTCAGCTTTTCTTCGATTGCATAATGAGACAAATCGGAAATTATTATTATTATTATTTTTGCTCATCCTGCAGGCCTGGTGACCATGTTGAAATATGCGTTTGTTAAAAACAGCAAAGAACTGAAGGGAAAATGTCTGCTGCGTGACCTGTTTTTCCTCTCATAAAAATGAGTAAATCTCCCTCAGGAAAAAGMAAAATCCTTATAAATGTAAACATTCATAAGTGTCTGTTCTGAATGTACTGTTGTGATTTTATGTGTAAGTTTTGTCTTTTCTTAAAATTCCAATTGAAGAAATTATCCGGTCAACACAACTTTTTTTTTTCTTCCCGTGTTTTTCGTCCTTGTAGATTTTTTGGCAGTCTGAGCGCCATAAACAAAACATCTGCTGCGTTTTCTAGGAACCAGTCAGAGCGGTTCAGTTCTGGTTTGGAGGCTGAAGTTGATTCACTTTCATCTGACTCAAAATGGCAAGTGACACCACTCTTTAGCGGCTAATGATATGTGTTCAGCCTCAGTGATTTCTCTGGGTATTTTTATTATTGTGAAGTGGACTTCCAGCAGCCGGGCGCCGGATGAGAGCTGCACATGCATCACAGCAGGTGACTGYAGGCCCATTTAGACGGTTGCTGACAGAACATGTAGGGATAAACGCCCCACCCTTCTTCAGAAGTCTGTCGTTACACTTCAGCTATCACCTCGTCTTGTCTTCTTATTGTCGGGCTCAGGCTCCTCARAAGTCGAGACGCTCAGGTTGCACCTAAATGTCTCCACTGGCGACACTAAAAAAAAACCAGACCTGACAGGAAGCTCCATTTGTCGCTGCGTGTGTTTTAATACCAACACTCAAAAGAAGTGTGGTGTCTTGTTATGGAAAAGAATAACTCAATAGTCGCATCTTAATAAATCCTTTTCCACTCCCTTCAAATTAAAATCCTGTTTCCTCTGTCTCTCAGCAGACAGGAATGAATGGAATTGCACCTCAAGGCTAACCAATGCCTCACCAGCTTTTAGCGAGTGAAAACCTCCAAAGAGCGGCCTGCTAACTGCTGCACATTTCAGCTAATGTATGCATGCCGATCAGTTGCTTCATCAGCGCTCCGGTTAATAATTTGTACAGTAGTGGACGGTGAGAAGTCAAACTGAAACTGACTAAGATGCAAACAGTGTTATGTTGTTTTGTTTTACTTCTCCTCTGTGCTTACATGACCTCGGCCCTGCTGGGCACCTTGAGAAGCGAGCTATCCTTTTGTCCAACCTCTTTGACCTGCACCTCTCCTATTTCCGCACAAAGACTCTCTAATGCCAGGTAGCTGGTGCTGGCATTCCTGATGCATTCCACCACGGGGAAGTTGCTGGGATCAGGATGAAAAATGCCTGAAACAAAGGCTTACTCTCATTCACAGGGTTTAGGGTTCTGTGGGAAAGTCCAGACTGGACAGAGGTTGGATGGCAAAGGAATGCAAAGCGAGGCATGTCTCACACAGTCTCCGTGACACGGACCCAAAGATACATTGACAAGGTAGAGGTCTTCTTACACCGAGCAGTCAGCAGTCATGAAAAGATTCGGGATAACTGTGCTGCACCCTTCCTTTCTCATGTTTGCATGTGACAGTTGAGCCGTCCATTAWGAGCCGAGCTTCCACTCGGTGTGTGGGAGGAAATTTGGTCCGAACCCGTAGCTCTGATGTGTCTGGCCTTTTAATCTTAGCACCAGGAAAGAGAAAAAGACCTGAGAAAACAGAGGAGTGGATATAAGAAGCATACATTTGACARTTTTTGAGAGAGGGTTTCTGGTTGAAAAAGAGAAATAAAATTAACTCATGACTGCCTCCAAGTACAAAGCTGCTTTGATAKGGGGGATGTCACATTACTTAGTTCTTTTGACCTCAGAGAGCAGTAGGCGAACTTGAATCTGTGTTTCCTTCTTTGGCAGTTTGCAGTTTAAATTTAATGCTTGTCGGCTGTCTTCTTCGCTTTAAGGGRTAGTTYGGCTCTTTTGAAGTGGGGTTTTATGGAACGGTGATGAGCACCTAAAAATAGTGTGTGTTTCTAACAAGATTGACGAGCTAATGGCTAGTCTGGGGGTCGTTGCAATCTCAAATAACCCTTTGATTGCCATCAGTTTTGCATTAAATGGTTATTTTAGCAGAATTATTGTAAAATTCCTGAATTATTCAAACATAGAGAATAATTGAGAGGTTTCTAAAATACTGTTTGCGTCAACTGTTTTAACGTTGCATGAAAGTGTGAATATATTTACATTAGGGCTGCCACGATTAGTCGATTAGTCGACAACTAATTGATTATTAAAATAATCAATGACTAATTTAATAATCGATTAATCTTTTTTTTGTTCTTTACTTTGTTTTTCTCTCCAAACTGCTTTGACACCTTCCACTGCCACATCTGCCTTTCTGTCCTTGACACACATGCACAGAAGTGGTAACTGGG